ATAACCAAATACACATTACGTTCATTTCAAACTGTCAAGTAATTGTCAAATAATTGACATAAACTTGTGTCTTGGAAATACAATTATTCACAATGTTCGAAACTATGTGAAAAAATCCAATACATTCTTAGTCGATAATCACCAAAAGGTGGAAGCATAGGGACAGTAATCATTTTTTTTAAATAAATACAGGCAACCTCACTATCATCATAATTATATAACCAAATACACATTACGTTCATTTCAAACTGTCAAGTAATTGTCAAATAATTAAATTTACTTAGCATTACGAAATCAATTACGAAGGTACAATGTTCGAAACTATGTGAAAAAATCCAATACATTCTTAGTCGATAATCACCAAAAGGTAGAAGCAAAGGGACAGTAATCATTTTTTTTTAAATAAATACAGGCAACCTCATTATCATCATAATTATATAACCAAATACACATTACGTTCATTTCAAACTGTCAAATAATTGACATAAACTTGTGTCTTGGAAATACAATTGTTCACAATGTTCGAAACTATGTGAAAAAATCCAATACATTCTTAGTCGATAATCACCAAAAGGTAGAAGCAAAGGGACAGTAATCATTTTTTTTTAAATAAATACAGGCAACCTCATTATCATCATAATTATATAACCAAATACACATTACGTTCATTTCAAACTGTCAAGTAATTGTCAAATAATTGACATAAACTTGTGTCTTGGAAATACAATTGTTCACAATGTTCGAAACTATGTGAAAAAATCCAATACATTCTTAGTCGATAATCACCAAAAGGTAGAAGCAAAGGGACAGTAATCATTTTTTTTAAATAAATACAGGCAACCTCATTATCATCATAATTATATAACCAAATACACATTACGTTCATTTCAAACTGTCAAGTAATTGTCAAATAATTGACATAAACTTTGTCTTGGAAATATAATTTTGATTTAATGAATTTCCTGTAGCTACGCTTCGTTTACAATTGAAATCGTAAATAAATTGATTGTCTTTTGATAATTAGAAAACGCTTTTGTTCGGTCGTTTCTCCAGAGGCAATAGGAATTTCTGCGGTCGTTCATAACGTTTCGAAATTGCCGCCCTCTGTCGTCGTCCGCAATTAATTTTAATAACCCCCCGACCGTTAATCGTGGAGCGTTTCCGATTCGCGGACGGGCGATAAAACCGGTAAAAGTAAAGAAAATTTTATCGATATTTAACATCAACATATTTACGTTTCGTTTTTGTTTCGTCCGGGGCAACCGCGTCGTCATGGAACACCAACGTAACCCCAGCAACAATCTCCTCCTGTTGCCACCACCTGCTGTTGCTGCTGCCACCTCCGCTCCGATAATTAGCTCTGCGAATTAACCAGATTAATAATTGATTCGATCAATGGGCGAAGATGATTCAATTACGCAGTTCATCGGTTCGGATGTGCTTTGATGTGTTTGCATAGGGTTTTTGTGCCGTGAAGAATGAATATTCATGCACGTAAGGTGCGAGAGGAACGCCCGGCGGCATTAATTTGTATTTAAAGCCCTTTAAGCGAGACTTTATATTTAATTTTGACGACACTCTTCTGCGAGAACTGGGAAAAAAACGGATGGAAATAATAAATAAATAGATAGAAAATAGAGAAAAAGGAGGTGTTGTGTCCCACCGGTGCGACGGATGTTGAGTTCAAGTGGAGCGCGCGCTTCGTGTTCGTGATCTATTAAAAATATTGAAATATCGAAGGGAAGCGGAAACAACGTTCGCATGCAAATAAACTGTCCTTCCTTCCTTTTATCCACTTTCCACGGAAACGAATTGCTTAAGACGTTCCACGAAGCGGATTTCGCTTAAATCTATTCGTTTTTTTTTCTTATTTATTCATTTTAAGTACACACTTTAATGATTTTAAATCGATTAAAAAGTTTTTACTAATTCACAACACGCACATAGAGGGCGCTTTTAAAAAAATGCAATTTCTTCAGATTTCAGTGATTTTCTCAGAAACATATGTTTAATCTTCCTTTGTAAACTACTTACGTAATGCGTTAATTAAAAATACTTTGTGCGATTGTTGCATTAAATATAATTGCATGTACATGGAGTTGTAGAAATTTAAATACGTTTTTGTTACTTTCAATACTTGTTATAGAAATGTAAGAGAAATAAACTATGGTTGTCATGGAAACTGTTTTTATATAACGTGATGCATGGGAAGTAGCAAATACTTGGTATGATTGCTTTATTTGTGTCATCCATCCAAATTTAGTTGCTTAACTATTATAAATTATCACACAAACATAACGACTATAAAATTGTATATATGATAAACGTTTTTGTAGTATCTTGAAAATAGGAGTTATAAGAAAAATATAAAACTTTGTATTTTGTGTTTAAAAAGAAAAGTGCTTCGCTTCTTAACGTAATCGAGGGTCGAAACACCGTGTTATTACGTTCGCTCGTGTAATAAGATGAAAAATTGCGTTGAGATATTGATAAATATCGTCAATTTCATTGACAAAATAAAAGTGCAATTAGTAGACCACCAAACACACACACACATATATTCTGATGCACTTAGTCGAAATATTGTAGCATCAATATTGAACGTTTAATCAGCAACCAACTTTGCATTAGTGTATGTATGCAAACATTTGTGTACGTGTGAGCGGATACTTCGCTTTCGCAATTGATCAGCGCGGGCTCGAAGGGGCGCCGCCGGGTCGCCAGTAAAGTTTAATGAACGGATCCATATACACAACCCCCACTCTGTTTATAACCATCTCTATCTCTGTTCCACTCATTCGGAATTCAACAATAGAATAAACGGTTGCATAAACAACTGTTGCATGTAAATAAAATTGGACCTAGAATTGAGTATTGGGGAACGATTTTTATATTAATTTTTTTTTGTTTTCATTGTTTCAGTAATATGATGTGTACGATGGATGAGCGTTCTTCGTGATTAATGGAATTGACGATGGGATCGTTGGATGGTTTCGAGGATGGATGAGTGTTCGAGGGTTGTAGTAGCAGTAGTAGTGTCGTCGATGGTAGGTTTTAGAAGAAGTGATAAATATTCGTGGAAAAGTGGTGGCGAGTGCGGTTGCTGCTGCAGTGGACGTGGGGCGGCGAGGGCGCATTGAAAGACCGTCGTATGGCGTCGAATATATCAGTGGTGCTGAACGAAACGAACGGTACAACGGAGCCCGCCATCTATGCGCCGTTCGTGAACTTCGGTCATATCCAGACGATCCTCGTCTCGGTGATACTGGTGATCGTGATTGTCGGTACGATCGTCGGGAACATCTTGGTGTGCGTTGCCGTCTGTCTGGTGAGGAAGCTGAGGCGGCCGTGCAATTACCTGTTAGTCAGTCTGGCCGTGAGCGATCTGTGCGTGGCGATTCTCGTTATGCCGATGGCTATGGTCAATGAGATCTATCAAGCGTGGATCTTCGGCGAAATCGTCTGCAACCTGTGGGTCAGCTTCGATGTCCTCAGCTGCACTGCATCCATACTCAACCTTTGCATGATCAGCGTCGACAGGTAAATATCTGCAAAATTACGAAGCAACAAATCATCAAAATTCTTCTATCAATTTTTCAGATATTTCGCAATCACAAAACCATTGGAGTACGGCGTTAAGCGGACACCGAAACGCATGATAGTTTGCGTGTTCTTGGTGTGGTTCGGGGCTGCGTGCATCTCGTTGCCGCCTTTACTGATTCTCGGCAACGAGCACTACATCATCGACGACGATGGACAGGTGAAGGCTGCTTGCATCGTCTGTCAACTGTTCGGCTACCAACTGTACGCCACCTTGTGCAGCTTCTACATACCGCTGACAGTGATGATGGTTGTCTACTATAAGATCTTCCGTGCCGCCCGGAAAATAGTCCTAGACGAGAAACGAGCGCAGAGCCATCTGGAGGCGCCCTGCTACCTAGAGATAAGCGTCAAGAACGGCGACGGTCCACCCGAAAACAAAATCGCCGGTCAGACGACCGCCAATCCGGTCTCGAGACCAAACAATCACCGATCGAGCACAGCTAGTACCAACACAACGGTAAGAATTACATCAAAATCGTATTCAATTTCAAACCCATTAGCGAAATGCAACACTCCGATCGTACATAAAATATATTGGGGATGCTGTAACTAACACTTATCAATATTAATTGTAATTGCCGGCGGCGCTTTTAATCCTCCGTTAAATTCGTAATGCTCTTAGACGCCAAATACCCGACCACTTTAACGCTTTGTTTAATCCGCACAGCGATACCAACAATATTTATGCAAATACATATACAACAAATTTAATCATTGTTTGAAGGAAAACGCAATTAGTATTTAAGAAAGAATATAATAAGAAAAATTATTGTAATTTTAGTTAATTCAATTATTGCGCCATCTATTCGTTACTGATGCACTAAAATTTAATAGGCAATTATGTAGTCATATTTAGTAAATATTCATGATTATACTTCCAACATTACACGCACGTATATAAAGTATCCTTGTTCTGGGGGCAGAATTATTTATTACTGTAAAACTTTTTCTTTTTTTTGTACCATTGAAAACTCATCATGTTTCTGGCTAAATGAGCTCAAGCTCACATGTACGCCACCCCTTAAAAATAACACCATGTATATGTATCTACATTTAATAAATAATTTTTGAATTGAATTGAATTGGGGCAGACAACCCTAAAAGCGCCGTCCTTAACGTGTTAATCCGATAATGTTTATGCAAATAGATATACAACAATTTTAATCATTGTTTGAAGGAAAACGCAATTACTATTTAAGAAAGAATATAATAAGAAAACTTATCCTAATTTTAGTTAATTCTATTATTGCGCCATCTATTTGTTACTGATGCACTAAAATGTAATAAGTGATTATGTAGTCATATTCAGTATCATATTGATGATTATACTTCCAACAATACACGCACGTATATAAAGTATCCTTGTTCTGGGGGCAGACAACCCGAAAAGCGCCGTCCTTAATTTGTTAATCCGACAATATTTATGCAAATAGATAATTTTAATCAATGTTTGTAAGAAAACGAAATTATTATTTAAGAAAGAATATAATAAGAAAAATTATCGTAATTTTTAGTAAAAATAAGTGAATTCTATTATTGCGCCATCTATTCGTTACTGATGCACTAAAATTTAATAGGCAATTATGTAGTCATATTCAGTATCATATTCATGATTATACTTCCAACAATACACGCACGTAAATAAAGTATCCTTGTTCTGAAGGCAGACAACCCGAAAAGCTCCGTCCTTAACGTGTTAATCCGACAATATTTATGCAAATAGATATACAAAAATTTTAATCATTGTTTGAAGGAAAACGCAATTACTATTTAAGAAAGAATATAATAAGAAAAATTATCGTAATTTTAGTAAAAATAAGTGAATTCTATGATTGCGCCATCTATTCGTTACTGATGCACTAAAATTTAATAGGCAATTATGTAGTCATATTCAGTATCATATTGATGATTATACTTCCAACATTACACGCACGTATATAAAGTATCCTTGTTCTGGGGGCAGACAACCCGAAAAGCGCCGTCCTTAACGTGTTAATCCGACAATATGCAAATAGATATACAAAATTTTTAATCATTGTTTGTAAGAAAACGCAATTATTATTTAAGAAAGAATATAATAAGAAAACTTATCCTAATTTTAGTTAATTCTATTATTGCGCCATCTATTTGTTACTGATGCACTA